TCTCTCTCTCTCTCTCTCTCTCTCTCATTAATTATTTACTTAATCTTTGTAATCATATAAATAAACATAGTTATTATATACAAATAATTATTTATATTATTAATTAATTAAATATGACTTATGAATATAATTATTATAAGGAAATAACAAATTTATAATGAAATTATTTTTGTACATAAAAATAATATCTTATCAACTAAGAATTTTATTGATTCAACATTTTTGACATTATATTTAATATTGTTAATGACTAAATTATTGTTTATTAGTTTGTATTAACTATTGTAGTATGCAATAATTTATATTATAACTAAACATGAACTAATTATCATTTAATTTAAAGAATTTAGCGGAAGAGAATTAATAATCTTTGATAAATAAGTATTTGTTGTTTTGTAATGAAATAAAATTCCATGAATTTTGAAATAAACAGTTTTTTGAAATAAACAATAAGTTATAAATTAATGTTTTCACAAAACAACAATGTGTATTACCTTTAATACAATACATTTAAAAAGTTTTATTACATTTATTATCATTTATCAGTAAAATAACCAAGCAACTATCATGCTTATGAAAACACAACGGAAATTACCTCAATAAGTAATACTTATTAAGTATATATACATATATATAATTTTAGAGCAGAAATAATTTTAATAAGCTACAAGATGGTTGTCAAAAGTATATCACAACTAAACATTAATCGGTTTATACCCGTAAAACCCGGTTATTTCAACGGAAATTTTACAAATATAAACACAATAGGGAAGGGTGAATTTGGTATAGTTTACCGTGCTACATCTACAGGTGATGCAACTGTTTGTGCTATAAAAGTGTATGAACTTCAAGGTAAATTAAAATATTTATTTTAAAATAATAATTGCAATTAAACAATTTACCTGACATGGTACTTTTAATATAAACTATAGATGATCAGGAAATATTGCACATTTTACCAACATTTCAAATAATAGCAAAACTTGACTCACCGTACATGATCAAATATTATGATTGGTGGCGGGAGAGTGGCCAGAATAACATAACTAAAATATACGTACAAATGGAGTTGTGCGAGTGCGATTTAAAACAAATAATTGATAGTAAACTAGCCATATTTGGCCGCAAATTTAACCAACATATTAGCCACGTGGAATATTTTATCATTTCAAATTTAACTCAGGAAATAATCGAGGGCGTTGAGTATTTGCATAAAAACAAAATATTGCATAGAAATCTGAGACCGTCCAATATATTGTTAAAGCAAGGCGGTATTAATTGGGTTAAAATTGGTGACTTTGGCATGGCCAAGATGCAATTATACCCCGATCAATCCAATACACAAAGTGCCGGTGATAAAGATTACAGGTATGAAATAAAATAAATGCTCGACTTAAAATATATTAATCTGGTTACTCTACAGAGCGCCGGAAGTACATGTGGGTAGTAAATATACTACACAGGCTGACGTGTACTCAATTGGTTTGATACTGGTCGAATTATTTCACATTAACATTAATAAGTAAATTGTTATAAATTAAATAATGTTGCTAAATTTATTTAAATATTTAAATATCATGTTATATTTTTATCAGATACGACACGTATAGCGAATTAAAGGGTATAATCGGGCAAATGTTGAGCGGTGTATCCGGACAGCGGCCCACGTGTTCAGATATTTTAAATCAAATTCGAGCGCCACCTATAGTGTATGATAAGGATCAAGTTCAGGCTGACACAAATGGCCTAGCTCAACTTGATAAAAATGATTACTTAAAAGCGTATTACACGCATAAAATTAACGCATAAATTAAGTAAATTGTAGTTGCATTAAGTTGAAAAAATGATGCTTGAATTAATATTTGAGTTAAATTCGCAAACAATTGTTTAAATTGAATAATTGTCTGAATGTATAAGTAGACCCGTATAAATTGTTTAGGCAAGAACATGTGCGGACAAATTACTTTTATACAATCTATGCGGTTGTATGTCAGCCCAAATTCCCAGCACTATTTGGCAAGGACAAATGCATGTCATCAGTTTTTCAGTTAAATTTTACATTTTTAAGAAAAATATTTTTATGTATTATGTATTTATATTTTTAAAAAATCATAAATAGATTTTCCGACGGAGTAAGTTAAAGTAACTTAAGTGACTTATGCCCCCGCCCTTCATTTTGTACTAGGTACTTTATCCAGATTATGTTGGCTTTGTAAATTTAATGTGTGCTTAAGTTTGTATGACCAAACCAATAAACTTGGATCTTATTTATTAAGTTAGAAAATAGTTTTTCTCATCAATTAGTGTATTAAATAATTTAAAATACAAATACATTATTATTTTATTTTTATAATAATATAGTATAATTCTATTAATTTATTTATAATGCATATTAATAGCATATACTTTACACTCAAAATAATATATCACTCTTTGTTGACCCAAATTTTAATTGGTCTAAATTTATCACTATTATTATGTAAGACTTGTAAACTTCGTGACAGTTTAGTAGTAAATTTTTGTTAATATTTAAGTTTGTTTTGCAAATTGTGAATATAATGCAACTAGTGAAATATCTACATAATTATTTTCTTTTATTCATTAATTTTTCATGAAATAAATTTATCATTACGAAATAATTTTAAATTATTAATATTGTATTTATTGATAATATTATTATTTCTATATTAACATTATTGTGTTACATGAGCACATATTTTTGTATTTACAAGACACTTAAATAACCTTTAAATAAAATCATAGTAACAATAAAATGTAGCTTGCAATAAAAAATAAGGTGTGGTTGTTATTAAATATTTGTCATACACTTTCTATAAAATATTATTGTTAGTGAATTGGCATTTAATTAAACAAGAATCAAGAGATTTGTTATTTTAATAGAAATAATGTGCCTTTTACGATTGTATATATTGTTATCAGTGTTTTATATTAGCTTTACTACATTTATAATATTGTTTTGCAATACACATATTTTCATGTTGATAAGTTTTC